GAGAGAGAGAGAGGGTTCTCTGCATTCTCATCACAAAACTGATCTCCATTACAGATATTTCCCATAAATGTGAAAGGAACAGCAGGCAGCCTAGTGAGCCTCATGCACTGGTTCGGTGGTTGGTTCATGTCCCTTATGTACAACTTCTTCATGAGCTGGAGCAAAACAGGTTTGGGATGTAAAACTCAACAATATACATGTCGATTGGAAGAGAGCATATGGGCAGAAGTTCTGATATTTTAATTGAATTAATCTTTTGTTGGTTTCAGCCACATACACTGTATTCACCGCGATTTGTGGGGGCACAGTATTGTTTGTGGCCAAGCTGGTTCCTGAGACAAAGGGCCGAACACTCGAAGAAATACAAGCTTCCATGGACTCGACTATTGCTTCAAAATCGAAATCGGCAGATGAGAAGTGATTGCACTTTCTTTGTAGTAGTTGGAAAGGAATGTTTCTTTCCAATGTAGCAAGAAAGTGGGGTCATCTGATTCCCTCTTCTTGAATTGCCATGATATTTTACCCAGTTTGAATTGAGGTTCACTTGGCTCAGTTCATCTTCATTGGTAAGCCAAGTAGTAGTCGATATAGAGGAATAGAAGAAATTTGCGTGGAATAAGGAGCGAAAAGATGATCAGAATATCAGGACAGTTTGTGCTATGATCATTTTATTTGGAGAATATTATTACTTTTCTACATATTTGATAATTTTCATTTTGCATATACTTCAGATTTAAACCTCATTATACAAAAGATGCATAGTTTATCTACACTGATTAACTTACATGGTCATTTTTGGTATTTTATTTTAGTGCAAAACCATATGCATTCTTTTTACTTCTCATGCGGAATTCTCACACATGTAGAATGGGTAAAGTACATTGCATGTGTATGCACTGTAGAGAACTTTATCATAGGAAAATGGCTATACGAGTCTTTCAGTAGTATAGGCCAGACAACTCAAATTAAATCCTATGGAGATGAACAACCAGCATTATGTGTTACAACTTTTTTCTGTATGAATATGTATAAATGTATGTTCTAAAAAGAAAAGAAAAAACAAGAATGTAGGCTATTAAAATCGCCTCCTCTCCTTCAATCTAGGCCGTTGATCTATACTATTCTATAGGCTGGTCAACTCCTAAAACTTTATCGTAGTATCCAACGGGAGTATTCACCGTGGTCTGTTTGAAATTTATCAAATTATACCTAGATATAAATAAGATGATGATGATGAATTGAAGATTGGTGATATGATATTAAAATTTTAATCTAATTTCAAATAGCTCATCATGTTTATGAACATTATCAAATAACCTATTTCATCAAATTTCAGTGGTAAAGAATTGTGACCATCTTGTATCAGAGGCAAATGGTCTCATTGTATATAGTCTTTTTTTTTTTTAGCTTTGTTAACATTTTTATAAATTTTTTAGTAATAGAATTGCTGTATCTTTATAAAAATAAATAAATTTTCACTTCATAACTCATCGAAAATTGTAACTCAAGTATTGGAAAAAGTTTACATCGACCATCTCAGCTTGAACATTATGGTTGTGAAAAAATTAGGATTTCAAGCTATAAAAATAGTGTATATTGTAACAAATTATCTAGTCCGTTTATTTCACCCTAAAAATAAGTGTTCACATTCTATAAGATCTATACTATTTTTTGAGTTTCAAGTGTTATTGTCAGTGTTGGAAATTTATTTTAGAGCCATTATACAGACTTATGTTGCCAAAAGTACTTTTCGAATGAAGTTTAATTACTTTTCCAAACGATGTTTAAGGTGAGGCTTTATGTTATTTTTAAAAAATCCTCGGCGTTATAGAACTTCATCCTTTAGTAAATCCTAACCCATAAACGTCTCTTTTATTTTTAACCTTTAAATATTTTTTGCATCACCAAACCGATATGTGGTCCAGCAATTCGGCACGAGACTGTGGGTGGATGGATTAGACCAAGCATTGAGCTGGACCGAGCTTGACTACCAATGGTATAATTCAAGCATGGCTCAAGCCGCAATGTGATTTATTTTCTATCCCCAAACCAGCCAAATAATTGTAGGGCCCAATCAACATAATGGAGAGGAGGGAGGGTGCAGCCCCTCAATGAAGACCGAGAAAGGTGAGCACATTGTTTCAAAACTGGGATCGGTTTACAGATCTGTGTTGGATTGCCAGATTGCCAATCCGTATCTGTCTATATTGGAAAAGCATTAAAACTAAAAAAAAAAAACAGGGCTTCTAAGGGATTAAGGGGACACCTAAAATATTAGATTTTTTTGGGGTAGATGAGTAGAGACTACCCCTTCCCATTTTGAAAGAGTCAACGGTGTTAGTGAAAATGGAAGTTGTGACCTTTAATTAAGAGTATTATCACTGTAACCTCAATCCATTCTAAAATATTTGATAGTATATAACTTATATACTGCCCTTACAACATGAAACTTAAATACTTTTCTTTATCTAATAATAATGTCACGTATTTATATTATTTTATTTTTCAATTTTTTTTACAAAAAATTTTGACACCAAATTTTGAGCATCTACTCTACTCGTAAACTCAACGCATGTAAAATATATAAAAAAAATATTCTCAATAAAATAAAATGATCTAAATACTTTTAAAAGTTTTAAAAGGTATTTTGATCATTATATTTTATCAAAAAATTATTTTTAATATTTTTTAGATGTGCCTTATCCAAATAATAAAACATGCCAAGTTTTATATTTATAATGAATATAAAAAATAATTAAAAATAAATTATTATAAAGTGATGGTTTTAAATTAAAAAATCAATAACCCATATGATCTAAATTGGATAGCCGAAACCAAAATCAAATGGATAGCATATGTATATTCTTCTCAAAACATTGGAGAGCGAGCATACATTGTAGAGAAAGTAAGCAAGAGAGAGAGAGATGGTGAGCAATAACCATCCTAGGAAAATGTGAGGGAACGAAGTCCTTCTGTCTCACTCAGTGAGAACACTTCCTCATTGGAATAAGAGTTCCAAACGGTGACTTGGCTCCCCTCTCTCTCTGTCTCTCTCTCTCAAATTGAGACTACGACGAGTGGAGTACAGAAATACACACAGTGGAGTGAGATTCTCTTTCAGAGTGGAAGAAGGAGTCCTTTCTCTCTCTCTTAAAATGTCAACCAGCAAAGGCTTGGAGGAAGGCCGCACCCTTCCTGAACATAACGCAACCTCTTGTTTCAAGTAGCACTCGCTCAGATGAAGAAAACAGGAAGAAGGGTTCCATTCTTCTCCTCAGTACCTTTGTCGCAGTTTGCGGTTCTTTCAAATTTGGTTGCGCTGTCAGTTCTCTATGCAACCTTAACTATCCATCTGTTGTGAGATTTTTCCCTTTTCTTACACATAATTCGAGCTCGAGTTCTCTCTATGCTCGACTTTAATGGTGCCACTTGATGATCAATGACAGTTGGGTTTTTCCTCTCCTACTCAGTCAGCTATTAGAAGTGACCTTGCTCTTTCTTTATCAGAGGTGATATGCTTATTATCTATATTATATTTTAATTTTCTTTGATATTTAACTTTTTATTTGATTTTTCATATACGAGTCCTGCTGTTATGAATCAAAAGATGGGTTTTCGTTGAAAACAAAAACAAAAAAGACTGTCACGATACTTAGTGCTAATTCAGTTCCAATTTTGGAAATCTTTGCAAATTATGAGCTTATGGTCCATGGCATAGTCACTGAAATTTAAAAATTGTTTGATAGTTGTAAATAAATATTCAAAATGATAATCCATGTTTATGAGATAAAATTTAGTCCAAAACCATTTCAAACTTATTATTGTTTTTAAAAAAGGTATATCTTTTCTTTCTATGAAAGCTTGCTCTTTTCAAAAGGCCAAACTTCAGGCTGCTTATTCCCAAAAAAAAAAAAATGGTCAGGAACTAACTCTTTTTGTGAAATCATTGGAATTCACGAGAAACTAAGCTATTGTCTGTCTTTTCTTGTCTTTTTTCACACGAATGACGCTGTTTTTGTTTACCCAAATTCTTACAAGCACATGGGATCTCAACTTCACCAAAGATTTATTGTACCGGAGAGTAGAAAGAAAAAATGGGCAGCACACCAACAAGATTTCAAACTATTTTGACCACATTTGGGATCCATATTATGGATAGAGGTAGGCGGAAATTCAAAGAATCAGATTTAATTTTGCAGTACTCTGTTTTTGGATCTTTCTTGCCAATTGGTTCGAGAGTAGAAAGAAAAAATGGGCAGCACACCAACAAGATTTTCAAACTATTTTGACCACATTTGGGATCCATATTATGCATAGAGGTAGGGGGAAATTCAAAGAATCAGATTTAATTTTGCGGTACTCTGTTTTTGGATCTCTCTTGCCAATTGGTTCGATGGTTGGTGCATTAATGTGTGGAAGTGTAGCTGATTATGCTGGCCGAAAAGGGGTAACTATCATTTAATATATTTTAATTGATGAACACATTTAGGGATCAAATCTTCTTGGCCTTTCTCAACTCCTATAAGTTGGTCTATTGCTTGCTTGTTGCGATGATTAGGCAATGAGATTAGCTGCTATCTTTTGCCTCTTGGGATGGACAGCCATAAGCTTTTCCAAGGTTTGCTATCTTCTCTCAGCAATGGAAGCTTGGAAATACAGTGGAAAAATACAGTTAATTTTATCATGAAAGACGGAATGCAGTGGAAAAAAGTGTAATAATTGTGCAACATTAACAATTTTTGAAGTTCATCTCTTAAAAGCTCGAAAGTTGGAATAATGAAGTCTGGTAACACGTCACTCATTCACCATTCACAAAAGAAATGGTACTTGATTCAAATTCCAAGCCCTACTCTTAAAAGCTCGAAAGTTGGAATAATGAAGTGTGGTAACAGGTCACTCATTCACCATTCACAAAAGAAATGGTACTTGATTCAAATTCCAAGCCCTAAGAATCTGATTTTTCTAATTTGAATTTTTAAATGGCTACGTTCTGAAAGGGTGCTTGGTCGTTAGATATTGGAAGACTATCTGTGGGCTTTGGAGTCGGTGTTTTTTCTTATGTGGTTTGCTCAAATTACTTCACTACAGCAACTGAGCATTTCAAATTGACTTGTTGTCATTCCATATTGACTATACTTTGAGCATGATTTTTTAATCAAATTGCTCTATAGGTTCCTGTCTACATAGCAGAGATAACACCCAAGACACTCAGAGGAGGCCTCACTACAGTGAGCCAGGTAACAGAATAGCTAGACGATCCATATGAATGAAAAAAATGGTAATGATAATAGACCGTGTTTATTGCAGGTTATGCTCAGTTTTGGACTCTTTGTTGTGTACGTGTTGGGAACATGTTTGACATGGCACACGCTGACACTTACTGGTACCCTGCTATATCAGTGAAAGTGAATATGTTTTTTTTATTGATTTTCACGTGAAAAAAAATGCCGAACTTTGGTTTTAGGCGGCTGGAATAGAAACAAGAGAACATTAAAGAATGTATTTTAGAAAATCAGGGAAGAGACTTCAGCAGAAAATATTCAGGAAGTGGCAGGAAATAAACATGCATTTTATGTTTCATGGCTTGATCATGAGTTCTATAGTCCTGGCTCTAAACTGAAATCACCCCTTCATAACAGGAAATTAAATTTGGAGAAACCGACAGTTGGGTAATGAAAGACACTTGTGTTGTGCTCTAAAAAGGGTTTATCTTGTTGATTTCTTAACGGTTTTTTCATGTTTGTCACTTCCAAGTGCCGGCATAGTTCCGTGCCTGATATTACTAGTGGGTCTGTTTTTGGTTCCAGAATCTCCAAGATGGCTGGTAAGTCTAAAGTCTTAAACTATATGAAGTCTATCCCATCATGCTATGTAGATCTGAAATACTCAATCCTTTTTTTCAACAAAGAAACTGACGAAATGTCAATCTTTTGGTTCCGCTTTCTTTGAGATAAATAGTGATGCAATTTTTCACGTCATGTTACATGGATTTCTTAGATAATGAAATTTTCTGAAAGAATAAAAAAACCAAAGGAAAATCATGTTGTAGGCTAAACTAGGCCGGCAAAAATAATTTGAAGTGACACTGCAGAGACTGCGAGGCAAGGATGCCGATATTTCTGAAGAAGCAGCTGAAATTGAAGTTTGTAATCCTTTACCTCTAAATTTACATTACAAAGAGTACAGAAAAGAAAAAAAAAATTATATTCAATATATGTACATTACAAAAAAAAGAAAGAAAAAAGAATGTACATTACGAAGCTTACAGCAAAAAAGTATTTGTAATGGATTGACCATTTTCAAAAGGACTACATCAGAACCATCGAAAGCCTTCCTCAGGACAAACTACTAGACTTATTCCAAAGGAAATATGCGCATCCACTCATTGTGAGCAAATATTCCCATCAACCTCATGGTCCTCACCTTAGCTACATTTTTTCATTCTCATGGAACATACTACAAAATTCTTAGTTTCTACATATGTGTACTGATGTTTCAAACAATGCAAGAACCCTCCTCATTCTTTCTAAGATAATTTTTTAACTTACATATCTTTTTTTTAATTCCTTGAGCTCTTTCTCATAAGAAATGAATTTCAATAACTAGGTAGGAGCTGGCCTGAATCTACTCCAACAATTTGGTGGACTCAATGGAATCAGCTTTTATGCAACCCAAACTTTTGTAAACGCAGGCAAGGAACACTTCTACCTTGAAGTTTGTCAAGACCTTGCTGGATTATCTCTATACCCTAAACTATTTTAAGATAAAGTTGTTTTCATTTGTGTTCAGGAGTCTCAGGTACTGTTGGGACCATAGCCAAGGGATCTATCCAGGTTGGAACTCTCTATTGACGTGGTTATTTCTAACACTTTTAATGGCGGAAAATTTAAAATTTACAGGTGTCAATGTCTATAGTAGACGCACTTTTGATGGATAAATGGGGATGGCGGCAGCTTCTTATGGTAATCACTGTAAATTTGTTACCCCAAACCAACAAATTTCTTGGCTCCTCTTTTTCTTCTTCTTATTAGCGCGCTTACCAATCTTCTATTGATAGCAAGCAATGTAAATTATGAAAAAAGGAACACTGAAAAAAGAAGAAGAAAAATATAGAGCTAAGAAATTTGTTGGTTGTGGTTAAATTTTCTTTTTCTAGAATGAATTCAATAAACTTATGACACTAAAAATTATCTCAGGTATCTGCAACAGGGACATGCATTGGTTGCCTTCTCACTTCAATATCATTCATCTTGAAGGTAGAGGAACAAAAAGCGATTATATGAGGGCTTTCTATGTGTCTCCACATGCATATATGTGTGTGAAGATATCTAGCCAACCAATCTTCATCTGATAGCTAGGAGTGAGGCAACAACAACGTCACGCATTAATTATTTTTGACAAAAACAATAGGTGTCAACCTATGTCATTATTTTTGACGCACTCCCAACCATGTGATTAAGATTGGATGGTTATAGATCTCTTGACACATAAATTACGAGTTGATGAAGACATGTGCAAAGGTTTCTTTGACATAAAATAGAATCTTAACATTACATTATTCATTTTCTGCTTTAATCTTTCATGTAGAGCTTTAGGTATGCCGAAAAGACTTACCTCTATTTTGTGTGAGACAGGACTATGAATCACTACAAAATTGGTCTCCAATACTAGCACTTTCCGGCATTCTGGTAATTTTGAATTCTCATAGAATATTTTATTTTTATGAGGATAGGCCATGTTATTGGTCTGAATAATCTGAGATAGGCCTTTTATGTATGCTATTGAGTTAAGGTTTTTATGTGCCATTTATCGAAGGTTTATACAGCTTTGGTTGAGCTGGGAATGGCCGGCATACCTTGGATTATAATGGCTGAGGTATGCTTTCAAAAGAAGAACAAATATATGTGAGAGAGAGAGAGAGAGAGAGAGAGAGAGAGAGAGCATGAGCATGGGGACTTTCCTTTTTTCTGTCTTAAGTGATTTCCATGCAGATATTCCCCATTAATGTGAAGGGTACAGCAGGGAGCCTTGTGACCCTTGTACACTGGTTTTGTTCATGGATCATCACTTTTAATTACATCTTCTTCATGAGCTGGAACAAAGCAGGTTTGAAGTAAAACTTTTTGTATATAAGTTTTTGGGCAAGCTTTTCATGTGTCTCCACACACATAAATACATGTGTCTAGAGACATCCATCCATCTGATCTTGATTAGATGGCTAGGAGTAAGTTGACAACATTATCGTGCATTAGTTATAGCCTGACAAACACTACTGACACCAGCTTGTTGCATTGTTTTCGATTCACTCCCAATTGCCTAATATAAACCCAGACATTTGCGTGTCTCCAGACATACATATAGTCTATGTAAATTGAACCATATAGAAAGGTTTCCCTATGTTGATTGGAGGAGAATAATATGGAAAAGTTCTAGTAAGAGGAGAATTTTGCCATCCACAACTGTTGGATTATAATGTCACATAACAGGGTCATCCCCATTGGAACCCTATGGTGGATGGTGGAGATTGGACATTGTTTATGATGAGAACATTCACACTAATATGATTAATCTTCGTTGTGTGTCATCGTGGAAGGTGGCTGTCTCCATGGTATACCATATACTATACCGTCATTGTACTATTGAAATAACAAAATGGGGTATCAAGATTTTGAAAAATTAAAATGCTTGATTGAAAACTTGGAATTAGAACCATGATAAATTGTTATCATTAACTCATTAAGATAGATGTTGATCCCACAAGGATAAATAACCTAAGCCACGGCATTCAAGGGAGAACACGATCTGCGGCCGGCATAAAAATATATAAGAGAATTGCGGTTCATACTGCTCACTAATGCATGCCCAAGACGTATCTGATTGGTAGGTGCCCGAGCATTGCTCTTTGTTATGTTATTCGCTCGCCCTTTCCAAGATTCAATGGTTAATGAGACAAAATGACAAACAATACATCTAGTATCCAATTAAACCAAAATGACATACTCACTATTTGTTAATTTCTGTTATTAATGATTAGTTCTAGATCATAAATTCTTGACTAATACGCCACTAAAAGGAAGAATGGCTTTTAACGGACTCGTGATATTTCAATGGATGTTATTGTTATTTTGAAACATGGTCTTTGACAGTGTATTGTCTCTTTGCTCATTTTGTTGTTTTTTTTTTTTTGTTTCTTCACTAGAGTGGTGGGGATTTGTGTGGGAACTCCACCTTTTATGTTACTCTCGTATAGCATGTACAATAGGCTTACGGCCATATGTCATGTGGGTTATAATCCAGTGTCCAATAGTATGTACAATAGGGTTACGGCCATATGTCATGTGGGTTATAATCCAATATGAGTACAAGAGATCACATTGTAATGCTTAACTATAACCTCATGTTCTTTGATGTGCTATTGATAGTGTGTTCAAATTGTGCCCTTGTCTGTGGTAGGACTGTTCTTCATATTCACAGGGTTTAGTGGAGCGACTGTATTGTTTGTCAAGAAGCTGGTTCCAGAAACAAAGGGAAGGACACTTAAAAAATAAAATATCGAGTCATCAGTTGAGAAGCTGATAATATGTTCCCTCGTCTTTATACAAGTAGGTATTCATTTTCATCAAAGTATTACCTTCAAAAGTATGTCAAATTTACCTTTTATTATTGTTCCATAAGTACCTGAAATGCTCATTTTTCAATTCTATCTTGCAGTAAGTGAATTGTAGCAGCTTGACCCATGGACCAGCAGACAATGATATCACATGTTACTATTTGAATTTTTGCCATGTATAAAACCATCTTCAACTATATTTGTAATGTTACTAGTAAAACAATATTATTTTTATCAAAAAATGGTGATTTTGTTTGCATTTGCAGAAACTGACATTATGCCACTTGTCCAAATTAGTGTTGACTGGAACTCCATTGTGAGCATTTGCAAAGAAAGTGTGCTTCTTTTGCTGTCCGTCTTTGTGACATGGACCCACATGTCTATGGTTGTTTGCATGTGTTTTGACACACCTTGGACGTGACACCTAGAAACCTAGATGATTCTTAACATTTTTTATTCAGATACCTCATGTAAAATCACCTACTCTTCGAATCCTATCCAGCTTGGTGATTTTTGGAATCCGGCTTCTTATCAAACAATAAACCCTAATGACACTTCCACTGCCGAAAATCTTCGATGGCATGCAAATCCATTTTAACTCCCTACTACAGAATTTGAAGCTCAAAAAATAATATAGATTTTGGGGTTTGAAATTATTTACAAATGATTTTCATGTTTCCAGTACTAAAATTATGATACCAGCAAGATTTGAGGTGCAGTCCTATAACTGACTTCTCACTATGGTGTGAAAGACTGACATTTGAGTTGCTCATTGTAGTACTTACAAAGAAACAAAAGAATAACCACTTACATATAGGGAGAGGCAATTTAAATTAAGGGGTCCTACAATTAATTGTTTTGACAACAAAAAATTCAATAATTTTTTAGATATTTGCCTTTGTTTCGATTTTCATCTATGCATTTGACCATTTCTCCAAGCAAGGAGGCCATAGAAGTTTGTATTAACTACATAGCAACAACTTACATACAAGGAGACATAGAATCATCACTTAAATTGAGAATTCTACAATTAATTGTTTGACAATAAGACACTCGATAATTATACATTGAAAAAAAAAAAAAACCTCAATAATTGTGAGATAATATCCTTTGTTTCTGTAATTAAAACTGGCGAGCAAGCTCGGAACTGCCTGAACTGACTGATTTCATCAATGCATTGACGATTTCCCTGAGGAGGCATGGTCCATAGAAGCTTGTATTTCTTCGAGCGTTCGCCCTTTTGTTTCTGGAACCAGCTTTGCTACAAACAGTACAGTTGCTGCACTAACTGCTGAGAATGCGAAGAATGTGCCTGAACAGAAAAATAAATGATCTCGTTCAATTAACCACTTTATTAATAAACTGACCAATTTTTTACCATTCTAGAGCTATTTTCCCAAAAAGAACAAAATAATAACAATAATGCAACTATTTCATTAAAAGTCAAAACACTCATAACAGAGTTAGAAAAAAAAAAAAAGGAAAGAAAGAACGGGCAGTATCCAGAATTTTCAGTAATGCTGTTATTTGATACAAATATTATAGAAAGGAGTTGTTCTTTATTTTTTTGCGAACCTGCTCTGCTCCAGCTCATGAAAAAGTTATAAGCAAATGTCATGGCCCAAGAACCAAACCAGTGTACAAGGTTCACGAGGCTTCCAGCCGTTCCTTTCACGTTAATCGGGAATATCTGCAGAGAGATTACTTTCACATAAAATATGGACACAAACCATCTCTCTCTTCTACATATGCATTTGTAAGGGGTGGCAATGGACAGGGATCCGACCTAGATCGGGTATGGGTCCAAATATTGGATACGAACTACTATTTGAGCCTGGGTTCAAGTCCAAGTGAACCCGATTTGGATCCGACCCAAATAGTTTTACTATTTAAATAATATTTATTAAATAATATTTTGATAGTATTATAA